ATACGAGTATTCAAATACTTAAAATAAATAAAAGACAGTTTGTATTATTTTTGTTGATCTTTTTTTTTTAAAGAAATAATTTCTTGAAACCAACCAAAATTCTAACCGAATAAGGCAAGTCAATAGTATATTTAAAATAAATAATAAGTAAATTTTTCATACACATACTTGGGTTAGATAATCACGAAATACGAGTATTCAAATACTTAAAATAAATAAAARTAATTTTCTAARTATGTTTTCTATGATTAATTTACCTATATATGAATATTCTCAAAGTAAAGTAGGCATTTTAAATACCACTAAAATACGTATTATATTAAAATTATCTGGCTCATTTAAATTCATACAAATATTTGTAACAATTCATAAAAAAAACATCCAAATAATGATAATAACACTTAGTATATTAGCTTGTGGCTAACATATATAATGGATAAGTATACTTATACATAATATATTATTATTTTTTGGTCACAGTGTTTAACGACGAGCAATAGGTAAATAATTATAAGATATATAACGGTCTCAATACTAATAAAAGTATTTGATAAAAATATTCGAAATATATTATTATCAAACACCTATTACGTTCAAAAAAAAAGTAACCTATGCTTGACAACATAATAACAATTTGACAACAGAATTATTGTTGTAATTATAATTATATTGTAAAAAATATAGTATAATTATTGGTATTATACAAAATATGAACTAATTAAATCTGCTATTTGTATTTCTAAACACTCAAGCTGATATTTGGATTAGAACTCTAACATATTGTATATACCTACACTTATTAGTACCAGATCTGGGGGAGTCGGAAGAAAAACCTAATACCGATCGATGTATAGGTAATTCTGATACCAGTAAACCACTAGGATACCTAACGGATAGTCTGATATAACGTATGCAGTAATAAAAATATATATTTAAACTTATGATAGTTTGCGTAGGCAGCTATCTTACTAAATTATAGTATGTTTATTATATAACACAATCACTGAGTCCTGTCACTGCAGGCGCTGTGTGTATACAGGGTGTATAAAGAAAATATGATAGGTTTATGCAGTAGGTATGAGCACATGTAATTTCAGTATAAAATCGTCGAACACTTCAATTACACCCAATATATTATTATAATATATAATATAGTAATAAATGCGTGCGAACCGTTACGGCAATTACCGATAGCGGTTAGGTATTATAATATAATAAATAATAATAATATAGCATTTCAACCATGCACACGGTGCAGTATTGTTACACCGACATACGCTACCTATCTATCTATGTATGAAATTTATTATGTTATATGATATTATGTATATTAAATTCATTTCGATTTCAATTATAGGATTAGCATTGCTGTTGCCACGATGTACGGTCGTTAACATGTTCGAGTTCATACCATCTGAAAGAATGACACATCGGTGTCATTACTATCACGAAAAAGTCGACGTGACTTGTACATTTGGGGTTTGGCATCCACTGGCGGCGGAAAAACTGCTGATGCTAACGGCCAACACCATGCCCGATCAAACAGTATTCCAYACAGGGTTCATCTCAATCCCCGGTTATAAGTCTCCGATATGTACTTCGTTATAGTGACTGCAACGACGACAAAGACGTATTATTATTAATTTATTATAATTGTACCTATATGTTTTTTTTTTTATAATATGTACCTAATTTTGCATAATAATATGTCTCAAAATATAGTTATATTATTATAATATTCACAATGCAAATAATTTTGTATGAGGAATTGAGAGGACATGATCGAGAGGTACTGTCTTCATTTAGTCTAGTTGTGTGCCTATTAGAGCGCGATCATATTTCGTAAATATACTATTAATAGGTATATTATTATGATTTATGTCGTATCACCATCACTTACCTACATATTAATATCATTAACTAATCAATTTTGAACTTGTTATTTTGGAACAATATTTATTAGTAGATCAAACATTCAATATAACACAAAATACTACGAAGTCTGACATAATTTTTTTTATTATTGTACAGAAACAAAACATTATAGTCTGACAGCCTGTATATAGGATTTATACATAATATTATTAAACTATAGTGAAAATGGCTACAACATTAAATTGTATTTTCTACGGAATATTATTGTAACAATGATTATGGTTATTTCGTTTTTTTWAAATATTTTATTATATATACGACTGATAATTATATATTGTTGGTAATGTTGGTATTGGGTACTATAKAATACCACATTATAATGGCGTACCTATACTAAATTTTATAGTTATATTATTGTTTCATYGACATAATTATTATAATGTTGTTGTCTTTTTCAAGAGTCATCCGAATTTCGATCTCAGTGTTTGAATGAAGGTAATGAAACAATAACTTCTACACATAATGAGTAATGAAGGTAATACGACCGTGAACGGTTATAATATTRTAAAATGTATAATACGTTCGTATTATTTTATTTAAAATTACACTTTAATGTTTATGATGGTCAAAAAGATTATTCGAAGTACGCGTGACCTATGGTAGTATTGTAGAAATATATAATCGAAGAATCGTATTATTCATTAAATAATCTATTGGATATAATAGTAGTGGTACTATTATATTATAAATATTATTACAAATGCACGTTATTGTTATTAATACGGTATACAATTATGCAAGTAAATATTTTTCATGAAAACATATTATTATTATAATCTACAATATTAAAGTAAAAATTTATAGGTCACTTTTCTTTTTAATTTCCTTGGTGCAAAACATTTACCTGACTTATTCAATAGACATTTATTTATTTAATTTTAAATTAAAGATAAACAACATTATAACTTCAAATTGATTCTAAAAAGAACATTTTAATCTAGTGTTTTTGTAATATAAAATACAACATCATACCTATATTGCTTAGTTCTTACTTACTTAAGAATAATAATAAAACAAAAAATAATCGAAACTAATATACATACCTCATATTACAAAGTGTATCGATAGAAATTAAGAGGATACAAATTTATTAAAAAATATGTACTTAACGTTTAGTACTTGTATATCATAATTATCAATTTTTCCTTGATTTAATTTTTAGGCACTTACCTATGATAACTTAATAGTCTTAATTTACCTATACATATACASTAAGTATACACAAATATATAATATAAAAGTTTAATACTTTTAATTCATAAGTATAATAATAATATATTGTTCAGAATGACTTAATAGGTAATAAATTTTACTGTTCAAATATATATATTATTATTATTAATTTCTCAYAAAACCTATCGGTAATTTCTGTAAGTCTTTGTATAGAAAGTTATTAAAATAACATTTGTATCTTATTTTTAGTCAGTATTTTCTGACCTCCATGAAAAAAAATAATACATTTTAAAAAATATGTTCGGGTACTCTTTTACACCCCTACTTTTTACCACAGACACAAACTATAAACAATACATCAAAAAACCAATGTTTAAATTTTAGTTTTTGGAATTCAATCAAAAGTTAAAAAATGTAACCTAGTAACARTGTAACTTAATTTTTCATGTAGATCAAATAATGTTAATTTTTTCAGCTCATATTCTAATAATTATAGATAACATCTTACGGTGCAATTTTGAAAATTAGCGTGTATTAAAATTGTAAATTCTTTTGTATATAAATATTATATTTATATAAAAGATTATAATGCAGGTAGAAGTAGTAGGCATCATGTCCCAAAACACGCGTATCGAGAAGAAATAATGAATGACATTAAGTAAATTTTTTTCATATATTATTATTGAAAATCAGCATTTAAATATTTTGCTGTGCCATGGTCTCATAGACATACTTATTAGGCAGTGATACAGAACTTAAACGACATATTATATTGACATTAGTTCATTAATTCAAGGTCAATGTTTGGGTAAATTGTAAATATTGTTTTAATTCAACGAAAACAATGTAATATTAAATCATTTAAATCTATAAACTGTGCACTTTCTACCACTTCCTTCATAGTTGTTAAACAGTAATAAAAATAACAAGTGGCATGTTGCCAGAGGAGCTGATGTCATCCTATGAATGTATCGTTGAAATGAATAGGAGAGGCGAATGTGAATACGCACAGTACACTATAGTTGTATACTTAGGTATATGTTTAGTCTTCCTACATTATTTACATTGAACATTTTTTAATATCGTTGTTATAATATCTATTTTTATTTTATAATTTTTATTTTTTATTGTATGTTGTTTAAGATTTATTAAGTTTCTATATTATGTATATATATTGATTTATCAACTGTCATATTATAATTTTAGAAGGTATAAATAAATCCTATATATATAAATATTTACGTATAGAGGTATATTATATACTTTGTATATAGTATTGGTTCTGGAGGTTCTGCACACCTACTGCAAATACAACTGCACGTCTGTACGCATCACATATTATAGCCTATAGGTATTCAGTTTCTCAGTTATTATATTACCTCTATTCAGTGTTCACTAGTCTGCAGTTTATATAGAACCATTTAGTTKGATATTATACAGTTGAATATTTTTCAATATCTTGGATGTAATAAGATTTAAACAATAATTGTATATAATAAAATAAAATAATCATCGATTATTTTATCTAGCTTTCATTGATATATTGTCCCRTAAAAACATGAATTAATAGAACATTGAAATATTTTTCGAATGAATATCTACTGATTACGAAGAACCGGTCTTAGTTTAAAATGTTTAATATTCATATTGAAAAAAAATAGGTAGGTAGAGTATACATAGATAAWACTAACTATAAAATAATATTTCGCTTAAACAACTATAACAGTGTTTTATAGCAATACACGTATAGGCGTAGTACAGCATTCACAACAAGCATTTTAGATTTAGGCGTTTGCTGGGATTATGCGTGGATCGTAATAAACCGATGATGATTTGAATTAATTATAGTGTACCTATTATAAAGCATTGTTAGCTATTTGACTTATACACGTCTTTAATGATAAAATGATTAAAAATAGTGTTACACAATATACATATATAATATAAAAGTTTAATACTTAAAAATTAGTAAAAGTAAAACTGTGTGTATCGAATTTAATTTTCATCTTGGAGACAGAGTCCAAAGAGTAAATAAGAATAGGCATGTTGCCATGTTGTGAATATGGTGGGTGAGGTAGTGGACGAAGTTGATAGTTTCAAGTACTTAGGATCCGTATGACAAAAGAATGGTTTTGGCGAAGATATTATGCATTGGATTAAGTGTGGATGGAAAAAGTGGAGAGAAGCATCAGTTGTTTTATGCGATAGAAGAATCCCAATCAGGTTAAAAGTACATTTTATAAGACAGTAGTAAGGCCGGCAATGATGTATGGATCGGAATGTTAGGCTATGGATAAAATAGAGGAAAATGAGTGTTGCGGAGATGAGAATGTTAAGGTGGATGAGTGGAGTGACGCAGAGGACAGAATAAGAAATGAGTATTTCAGARGTAGTATAGGAGTGGCTCCAATAGTTGACAAATTGCATGACAATAGGTTGGATGGCTAGGACATGTTTTAAGAAGAGAAAAAACTGAGGCAGTTTTAGTGACAAAGAACATGTGCGTGGATAGAAAAAAGGAAGAGAAAGATCGAAAAAGAGATGGTTTGAAGTTATATAGTGCG